TCTTAAGCGTAACAGCGATCATGAAGAAGCCAGTAATTATAGACCAATTTCGCTACTGCCAATACTTTCTAAGGTATGCGAAAGAGTAGTGCAGCTGACTCTGTACCTAACATCCAACCAAAGAATATCAGTGAAACTGAGCGGCAACAAAAGATGGCACTCTACCGAAACGTCGCCAATTTCTACCACTGATTTTATTCTCTGCGCTATCGACCAGAAGAAAATTATTGCGGTCGTATATCTTGATATGAGCAAAGCTTTTGACACTATAAACCATTGAATTCTTTTAAAAAACTGGAGAATAATCGGTCTATCAGCCTCTGCACTCCAATGGTTCGAAAGCCATCTTTCTCAGAGACTGACCAAGCAGTCCGTATAAACTCTGTTATATCTGATAAATTACCAGTAGTCAGTGGAGTACCGCAGGGAAGCGTTCTTGCAGCATTACTATTCAGTATTTATATATGTAAAAGACCTACCAAATGTTTGTCAAAATTGTTTAACAGCGTGCTACGCGGATGACACCAAGCTTCTATAATCGTCATGCCGTGAACGGCGACTGCTTGTGTTATAGAAAGTGTTAATTCCGATTTACAACGGATTCCCAACTAGTGTTTCGATAATTGCTGAATGCTTAATCCAGATAAGACGAAACTCATGGTTTTTAGCAGCCGAGGAATGTCTTCGAAATTACTTGGCTTTAAATTGTATCTCTACCAGGAAACGACAGACATCAACCCGGCTCAATCAGTCATAGATCTTGGAGTAGTTTTTGATCCCACTGACGCTATCATTTGATAATCATATTTCTACTACAGTGTTGTCTTGCATGTCGAAACTACCTCAAATAAGCCGCATTAGATTCGCTTTTAATGAGCGGTTGCTTGAAACCATAATAAAGGCGCTTGTTTTCAGTTGAACTCTATTACTGTTCGTCAGTATGGTCATGTACCTCAGCCTGTAATGGTCTTAAATTACTAACAATACGTTCAAAACTTTGCCGCATGAATCTGATGAATTATTTGCCACGTAAAGAAGTATGACCATATCTCTCCTGTATTAAGAAATCTACGTTGGTTCCCTGTAAAAACCCAATTGTATTGTCGAGATGCTACCTTAACATTGAAATTTATGTCGGGTCAAGCGCCTGAATACCTATACATCTATGTTTATTACAAGAGGCAGCGCATCTGGACGTATAACCAGGAATTTTCAACGGCTTAACATTCCTCTTTTTAAAACTGTAACAGGACAGAAAACGTTTTATTATAAACGTGTATCTATCTGGAACAAGCTAGATCCAAGCCTCAAATTATGCAAGAATCTGGCTTCCTTCAAAAGGGCTTTAAAAAAATCACCTCATTCTGAATGAATTTTTAAATTGATAATAATTTACTTTTAAAGATAAATAATTCGTATTGCAGTATTTTAATTTTGTAATCCTATTTGTTCACTGAAAGCCCCGGATGGGGATGTATTCAATAAATGTGTGTACTGTATGTACTGAAGCTGTAAAATGTCTGTAGACAAGTTCAAAAAAGCGCTGTGAAGGATGACACGACAGTTGGCCTCGCCGCGTCAGATAAGTCGGATAAAGGATCTTGACTTCCAAGACTTCGAAAGATTGGTCTGAGGAAAGTGAACTCGACATGGAGTATCAAAGAATCCATGGGTTCAAGCCGGCGGAAAATTAAAAAAGAAAACAGCAGAAAGGGTCTTTCAAAGTTTGGGAACATTAAGGTCCCACTTCGTTGTGTTAAAAAAGTGATAATAGTAGTTGAGAAGGCACCCGATGCAGGTAACTGATAATATAAGACTGCTGCATAATTTTTTAAAGAAGAATATTGTAGAAGCATTAATTTTTTACGAAAACAAATTTTTATTTCAACTTCATTTTCTTTTTGCTATCGTACGGAAATCAACATTGCTCTCAAAAAGATGTACCCATAAAACGAATATAAGTCGATAAGGGGCTCGGGGTGTAGGGAATTGTCTCTTTCTTGGTGCTCAGGGGTGTGGAATAAACCACCAAGAAAGAAAAAAAATGAAAATCCTCAGGGGTATGCCCGAAGCGCATGGTTACAGGTCAAATTAAAACCGGCATGCATAAAGAGCGTACCGCGCGTGCGAAAATCGAACGGAAGTTTTCTTATTCAAGCGCTTGTTGGCCCAGATTCCTGAGAAGTATAATTTGTGGGCTGAGTTTGTTTACGAAGGGAGGGATTTTTTAATAATTAACTCATTTTCTCGACTTTTATTTTCCGCTCAGAGGGAATGTGAAGCTAAACTCTGAGGGAATTTGGTCGATTAACTTTGGGGGAACATAAAACCTGAAGGATAATTTTTTGTTCCTTAAATATTATAACTTTTTTGTTGACAGGCATTTTTGTACGATTATCCTTCTTCCGTTTTAGCGTTATTTCCAATTTGTTCTGTAACTTTTGATCGCAATCGAATACGGGGAAAACCCTGACGCGTATTTTAGGGCTTTGGCCACCAAACAACTTGAACAAATCAAATTCTTTTTCGTGAAAAATAAACATTGCTTTGAGTCTTTAATTCGGACGTTTGCATTTAAAAATCCTAAAAAATTAACAGTACAATTTTTCAAAAAAAAAAAAAAAAGGTGATTTATTAAGAGAGCCGGTTTAATAAGCTTTAATTTGATATAGGGTTTTAGGTATTTTCAGTTTAACCGGAACGCGCTACATATAACTTGCGCGTGAGAGAGCCTGAAGGTATCCGGAAAATGTGTTTCGATACAGTTTTTGGGAGACCATACCGACAAGAAATCGACGACAAGCCTGGATTTTCTAAGTATAATTTCAGTCAAGAGAGGATAAAGAGTTATATCCTCTCTTGTTTTAGTACTAAGTTTTGACAAATAACCTGAAGTCATCTGGCGAAAATAAAACAAGGGCAACAATATAAAAACTATAAGGTATCTACTCATGTGTACAAAAACTTTTCATATTATCAGAAGGGAAAGTACTAAACTTACAGTTTGAAAATCCTGGTTTGTCGATTTCGGAGAGGTGTGAAGCAGCTTCTTCTCGAAAAGTGATTGGTCGAAACTTTTGCAAAAAATAACTATGGAAGTGTTCAAAAACACAGAAGGCACATTAAAAATACTAAGCAGAATTTAGAACAATAGTTGTTTACCTACAAAAGCACCTATAATCCAATTACACTGCCACGAAATCGGTTAAAAACTCAAGAAAACACACTAAAAAGGGTTGAAAATAAGTTAGGTAGTCATTTAATGGAAAATTTCAGCGAAGGACCAATTGGAGGTCAAAAATGTCAAACTGCACAAATTTCGAAACACAAACAAGGCTTTAATTTGTTGTCTACTAAAAACTCAAATTAAACATACTTTTATGAAAAGAAGTGTTTCCTCGGAGATGCACCAAACTAATCCATTGTCGGCGTAACGAAAATAAGCTTGCCCTTCCCCCCCGGCCCCTTCTCTAGAGAAGATATCTCTCGAAATGAATCAAACAATGAATCAAAGAATGTGACAGAATTAAAATCTTACTCAAATCATTCAACCAGTTACAAAAAAAGACAGCTTTGGGAAAGAAACAAATTCGTGCAAAGCTTGTGCCATTCCACCGGAAAAAAAATCCTACCGATATTGGGCTTGTAAAAATATAATCCACTGAAAACTTTTCACCCCTCCCCCACCCCCTTTCTGGTTATTTCCCTCAAGAGGTCACTCCTCTTAACTAATATGTTACGAACTTAAGGTTATTTTGATGTATTGTGCGATAATAATTAATTCTATTCAGTATTGTAATTGTAATTATTCACTTTGTATTTAGTATTCACCTTATTTTAATGTATTGTACGATAATAATTAATTCTACTTAGTATTTTAATTGTATTGTTATTGTAATTATTCTACTTAGTGTCAAGCCACTGCTCGCCTCGAATAGCTATAGCTAACTGCGAGCAGTGGTACATCATATTTTGTATTTTCTCACTTTTTCTTAATAAACTTGATTTAAACTTGATTTGATTCGGTTGCGACAAAAACTAAGACGCGAAAATAGAAGATATATATTCAAGACGTGTGCAAAAATCTTAAATCACGGTCGGAAAGATCTTATGGAGAAGTAAGTGCGTATCCCGTCAAGATGGTCGGTTAATACTCTATATTTTAAGATAAGGTGGGTTAGTCTTAAAATAAGAAACTAACGATTTTAGGTAAGATGCTGGGGGTCGTATTTTAAGATTAAGTCTTTTATTAGTTGTGTCTTCATTTTTAGTCTTTTTAGACTGACACTAGGCAATCCGGTTTTTTTTGTGTCGTTTTCACCACGACACTCTCAAAACTTTCGTTTGGCCGCGCTCAAGCGTATTGTCCTACGAAAAAGCAAAGCTTTAGCCAATATACACATCTCTAAAGCTTTTAGAAGTATTGCAATCGTATCAATCCTACCCAAAAACAAAAAATAGTAATGATACCAATTTGTCAATAATCCAAAATTTTCATACAAAATTCTGGTTTTATAAAGTAATACGAAATTGATTAAAATGTTATAGTGTTCCTTCCTGAAACGTGGTATGAAAGACATAGGGAGCGACGCTATATACCAAACGTGTATTGCTTAGGCACAACTACTGCCCAAGAAAGCAAACACGGGACCATGCATTTCCGGTTGAACTAAAAAACGACTGTGGATCAGGCACATTACCGATTAACCCCAACATATGAATCTTGCACTTTCTTCATTTCAGGTGCACTTCAAACAGTTTTCCAAATTCTTCTTCGGAAAGTTCTGCTTGTAACTCGTGTTTTGATAGTACGAGTTCAATAGCGCGAGCTTTGCTCTGTGAACACGCCGACCATTTAATCATATTGTGGATTTCTGACAGCACGCTACGACCCATAAGGTACGCAGCGGCTTGTTAGGCAATGTAGGAGCCGGCTCCAAATGTACATGCAGCAAATAATCAGCTAGGACTCGAATCATCAGAAATCTCTCACCTTCAATCCCCCGCTTGACTAAAGATCCTGTCACAGCACTGGCCTGTTTGGTCGGTTTCCCCAAAATTATCATCAAAAGCTTCATGAATTTATTTGCCTCATCGTCATCAGTGTAGAACTGTGGTCCATTTTTCCATTTCGTTAGCACGAAATCGTAAATTGCGTCGCTGTAAGTCTCATACAGTCGTCCAGCCCAGAACAGACACTCCTTGAAGCAAGGGTTTGTGAGGTAGTTCTGATGCTCTAAGCAATTCATTTCTACAACATTGTCACCAATTGTGTTTGGATGAAGAGTTAAAAATACATTGAAAACTGCAAGAGCACAGTACTACTCTCAGTAACTTTCAATTAATCCGCAGATAAATACTCTTCTAGTAGTGAAAGAATTAAACTCGGTGTTGGACTTTCTTCCGTCTGCGGAATAACTGAAGATTCAGCTAGAGTCAAATGCAACTTATCACAGCACTCTTTACTGATCGAAGCTTGATCTAGAAGCTGAGCCTTCTTTCTTTCTTCAGAACATAACCTAAAGCCATCACAAGGAAATTATATTTACAATTTTGAAGAATTTTTCCAAAATTATCCGTGACCCTTTGAGCGAGAACGGTAAGTGGGGTATCAAACTAAACGGGACGCGATTGATTGGTTTTGATGTATCGGCAAAGGTATTGCGTTACATTGTCAAGTATGTCTCTTAGAGCGTGACTTGTAGCTTGAATTTCTTTGGAAGATCGATGATCTATCATGTCATTCTTGGAAGACAGTCTCTGGCATAGAACGCAATGAGAAAGTAGTCCAGGAGATTGATAATATTTTTGGCTAAGCTGTTCTTGCCCCAGGACTCAATTCCTTTCTCCTCGAGAAACCAAAAAATTAACTTGTTTTGAGATGGTACGAAGTGAACACGTTAAGCCCACGTAGCTTCATTTCATTCTTGATTAACGCCTTTAAACTAGCTGAAACCGACTAAGCCAGCTTTTATTTCTCTGACAACGATCGGGCAAGCATTAACTCGATCAGCTACAGAAAACGAAAACCTCCACTCGAAATCTCGGAAAACGCTGTTGTGTGACCCAACGGGTACAATGTGACAACCTTGGGCTAATATTGTTGAAACCATCGCGATGCTGGGCCAGCAATGTTCTCGTTTACGATGTATCCATTCTTCTCCTTGTGAAGGTCAAAATGAACATTTTAGGCCATAAACGAAATCACGATTAATCGTGAATGTCCTCATTGTGTAAGGGAGAGAGAACGAAGGACTCGTAATTGAACTTTTCCCGGCGGTCATCAAAGCACCTCGGTTGAGTGGAATTAAATCCTTACTTTTATCGATGAATTTTAACTTCTTGAGGCGGTGTTCTGGAACGTTTTCTCCTTCTGCTGGCTGGAAGAATTGTCTCTTCGTCAAGTGTGCATAGCCAGCGTGTGAAGCATCGAAGATGTAAACAATATTTTTGGCTTCCTCTTCATTCGTCGAACTAAAAGCTAATAATCTAATGTTTTCTTATTCCTAAGTTCATTTACGTTTGTTCGACAATCCCGCCACCCAAGAAAATGGGTAAAATGCTGTTTAAATTCTCAGGGAAAGGCGAATACGCGGAAGAAGGGTTAACAATAATAGATTCAGCCCGGAGTACATAATAAAATCGTTGAGATCAGCCTGGGTAAAACATATCTTCCATGATGATTACGGTTTTATAGGACTTTTTAGTCCAAAAAAAGAAATCATTTCTCCGTCGTTTAACAAAACATGCAAAATTTATCTGCTACGTTATAACAGATGCTAAAAATAGCACAACCGCTGCTGACACATCCACTGTTCAAAGATGTTTGTCGGCAATTACAGGTACCCCACAGTCGCATAAGACTTTATATAGATCTCCTACAGACATGAAACGCTGTTCTGCGATAAAACCTATGAGAGCTTCAGCTGGATTTGGGTAACGTTGGTCGAGGAAGCTAATCTCTGCTTGATTCAAACCCAGCTTCTCAGCAACAAACTTCCACTTATCGTCGCCTGTGATTAAAATAAAAAAAGAAACCAAAACACTGAATTCGTAACAAAGTGCCAATTTTTGAACTGGAAGATGGCATTACGCAACTGCTGTCGAACAACAACCAAATAACACACTTCGAAGAATGAGTTTGAACGCTTCGCTCCTAGCGGTTGAATCACATAATTTTTTTCCTTAATACAGTCAACTCTCTCTTAACGGACACCTCTATAAGACGGACACCTCTCTAAAACGGACACTTAGAGTTGGTCCTTGCCTTTCTTTACTCCCTTTCTTTGACTCTCTATAAGACGGACACCTCTCTAAGACGGACACTTAGCGCCGGTCCCAAAGGTGTCCGTCTTAGAAAGAGTTGACTGTACTCCTAAATCTTATCAAATATCGAATAGCTTAGAAGATCACGAAATATTAACGTTTTCGGTTTCTAAAGTTTCTGACTTGTAATAGGCATATATGGCCCAGCCATCAAAATAGCCAAGGTAAAAAATCCTGAATTAGAGGAACCTTTTCTGTCAAGAAAACGTTTGTGGTTAACAAACTGATAAGCGAAATAGGATGATTTACACTTAAATTTCATACCAGTCAAGTCGATGGAAAGCCGTCTTGCTTGGGAAAAAGGGATCTTTCTCACGTCAAGGAATTCAGATAACAAAGGACCTAAAAAATCCAACATAGTTACATAGATACTGTTGCAGCCAGGTAATAGGGCCGTGGTGCGGGGTGCCAGGATCGGGGTTCCGTGGTCCGTGGAAAACACGGAGTCCCGGGGTCTTTCGCTGATTACTTGTATTTCTCCTTTGATAATATGCAGATCAGTCTGTTTTGTTTATCCGACGGCTTTATGATTAGGCAGGGCAATGAATTTTGTTTATTCACATGAAACTAAGCAAAGATAGCTGCTTTGCTGTTTTTGTTTTTTTTTAATGTTTTGTTCAATAATTATGATAACAATAGAAAAGAAAGAAACCGCCTCTACATCAACCTCTTCCCAGGCCCTAGGGATGACGTTGCCTCTGCATGCAGCCTGTTCCAGGGCAGGAAAAACCGGGTGGGCAGGGGAAAAAAGAAAGATAGGATGAAAAAAACTCCTCTCTCCCTCTCCCTCTAGTCTGCCTTCTTTTTTTCTCTCTCTCCGCTGTTTATTTCGCGCCACGTTTCAACGTCGTTCCCTGAACTTTAAGAGAAAAGCTCTGGGGATGTACGAATTTTCAACTATATTAGCAACCTTAAATAACTCCAGTCGTGGTCATCATACTTGATTTTTTTTTTTTTCGTTCTTAAAATGAACAGGATAAAATTGAGTTATTGAGCACAAGAGAGTACTGAATATATAGGATTTAAACCTTTGTTGCATTGCGCTCCAGCGAGCACAAACAATGGTACAAGGTGGAGGGTGGATGGACAGTTTCACAAAAATTACAGAGATTTCTCTCTTACTCCAATCCTGGATAGCTCCCAAACTCGAATTAGCGCCTCCTCTAGACTCAGAAAGTTATGTAAACGCCCCAGATTAACTCGAGGATATACGGATAAACCGAAGTCCAATCCAAGAACGCACTCTGAATACAAGAGATCTTGGAATAAGATCACAAAAAGAGTCAAAAAAGGTTTAAGTTTAAGGCCCCTAGACCTCCTAGGGCTGGAACAACTACAAAAAAATTCAAAAACAAAAACTATATTCACCAGTAGTCCCAGCAGGTGTCATTTCCCTTAAATGTTCCACCACATCAAGTCTGCCTGAATGTCTGGCTTCTCTGGCCAAGCACTGAATCCATTTCTTGGTCTCATGGTCAGGATCTTGCAAAGAAGCATGGTCCAACTGAAGTGTTTCCTGCAGTCTGCTAACAATTTCCTTGGAATTGCACGATTCGGACGAAAGATTGTCTAATACACTGCTACGAACTGCTAGGACTTTTTCTTCATTTCCTAGCAAGTTAAATATTTAGAAAGGTTACTAACGTATTGGTATTTATTACATAAATACCGTCTGAGATATACTCACCGAAAGCTATGTCGTAAACTTTCCTACACAAATGAGTTACCCAAACAGGGGAGCGATGTTTTTCACACGTGAAAAAAAGATACTGTACGACCAATCAAAATCGTAAACGATGTTTTTTTCACATGAGAAAAATGATACGTCCAATCAAAAGCGGTGCCTAAGTTTCGCGCCAAGTTTCCCGCCTTTAATAGGTGCATGCAGCGCCCTCACTCGCGAGTTGCTTCGCAGTCGTTCAACGAGATAATCTGTTGTTTTACAAAAAGACAAAGGAACGATGCTGCGGATATTGTAATTGCTGGTTTGCACGTGACGTCACGCCGGCCATGTTGGTGGTCAAGAACAACAGCATTTCCCTCCTCTGGGAACTAAACTCTATTTTCACGTAAATTCTTCGAAAAAAAAATTCTTTTGTATTGACCCCCAACATGGCTGCCTTGTCATGTGGTAGCAAACCAAGAATAGACTGGCAGCTTTGCTGATTCATTTTTATGAATCGGTTTTGTTCAATGATGATATCATTTGAAAAGAAAGAAAGAAAGGCTCTACCCCTCCCTTTATCCGGGTATTCTTGGTGTTTGACACCCTGTTGGTTCGCTTTTGTTTTGCGGTGTGGCTATTGTTCAGTATCTTTTCAATCTTTTGTATTACGTCATTTGGTGATTGCACCTATCTGCAATACCAAGAAACTATTCTTTATCCTAAGATCTTCAGTCATGAACAAACAACAGAGAAGAGTCAATAAAGAAAGAAAGAAAGAAAAAGAAAGAAATGAAGCTACCAAAACGACAGTACCTTTACGGGCACAATCATGATGCAATAAAATAGGTTAAAAATGACTCACTCATAGCCCATCAACTGAGTTCAGTGGTGGAAATTACTGTCGGACATCGGACATTGTCCGACCAAAATGCTGTAAATGTCCGACTAATGTTGCAATATGTTCGGACATTATGTCCGAGCACTTTATTGACTTAGCTCTTGTCTTAAAATGTTTTTTAAAACCCCTGAGTTGATTTCAAAAACATAAAAAGGTAAAACGCTATGATAAAAGTAAACTTTGCATTTCGGTGAAAGACTGGAGAAATACGTCTTTTTTGAGGAAACTCGAAAACTTCCACGTATCGTATTCGTCTTTCTATCTGGCGAAACGAAGCAGCTCTCTTTGTTAGGGAATTACTGGGCTCTACTTTCCATATATGGAAATCTAATTTATACAACTGAAGCACAATGCTTGGAACTAAAATGGCTCCCTATTTCAACGATCTGAAGGATGAAGAAAGCTTTGAAAGACGAACGGGAAAACTTTCCGCGCGATTTCTTGCCACTTTGAACAACAACCAAAACAAAAGGCATTTTTCAAAAGTAAATTTAGTCGTGAATTGTGACAGATGAGAGAAAATGTCTTCACAATAGTGCAAACGATAACTGCCTACCTTTCAAGTCGTCGGCGGTTAACCATAAACAACAAGATATTCTTTTAGTTGAATACTACAGAGGTGAAAATTCACATCGTAAGACGTGCAGAATTTTTGCTGGTTTTGGGAATATTTTCAATGAAGTAAATATCACTGTTTTTGTTCCATTTCGTTTTTTCTGAACTGAATTGCCATTTTCAAAACTACCAATGTCCTGGACACTTTTTCTCCAGAAAAATGAGCATGTACAACATAATTTAATGTAACAAATACCAATATTTCATTTCCCTGAATTACGCCAACTTCCAGCATTTGCAAAAGAAATCACATTCAAGCAAGATTTAATAACGTTGCCAAATGGCGGGAAGCGGTCATTCGCGTTCCTCTGGTCTATTTAGACTATTTCGTTTCTTTTTCAAAGCTTGAGATTTTTGCAAATTGTTTCTAGAATCATGAAAATTTCGAAGGAAAGATGATTTCTTTTAAAAATAATAATAACAGAGTCGCCAATGTGAAGAATAGTTTCTTGAAAGGGGTTACCCAGAATCATTGCTTGGGTTTTCTTGTCATTTACTATCAAGAGATTTGAGGCAAACCAGGTTGAAAGCATGACTGTATTTACTCAGATTAGCGCAGCCCTTGAATAAGTGTCACTGTTATAGAGTTTAATACAGCAAATAAAAATATCATAGTCAAACAATTCTTTGCACGTCCAACTTTCAAATAAATGCTATGAGTGCCGCGGCACTTAGTTGAGTAACTACGGTATGCTAATTAATGTCCGACCAATATTCGAATATGTCCTTTCAAAATGAAGGTTTGAAAAGACACATGTCCTTTTAAGTAAGAAAAGTTATTTCCAGCACTAGAGTTAAAAGCCACTTTCAGTGAGACAGGAGCCTCGCAGTTTCTATGGCAATAAATATGTTTAAATAACGTGGGACTGTTCTTTAGCGCCTGAAGCTCGCCCAGAGAGTGAAGGAAATCACCCAGACCTCGTAGTTACGGTCAAGAAGATGAAACAGATCTACATAATTGAAATGGCGTGCCCGAGTTGGAGGTATAGGGCAGATAGGGAAGAGCTCAAAACCATTAAATATAACTTAGAGAGACATCCAGATTTTAAGGTTGACCAAAGTAACATTAACATTGACGGGATTTTAGCGGGCGAGTGCTGTATGTATGTATGTTTGTTTGTTTGTTTGTTTTTTTTTTTGGCCGCGGATCAGCGATAAAATTGGAATTCCCTCGCGGCTTTGCCGCTCCCGAAAATCTCTCACGGTTTCACCGATTGCTTCGTGTGGCGGCTACGCAGTTGCCCCTTTGGTAAACGGTCGCTGCCATTTGTAAAACACTTGGACCTGTTATTGAGAGTTTTCCTACTAAAAACTCAGGGTCGAACCCGGACCTTTCGTATCCTTATCTCTCTCCCTTACCACTACACTACCACACCGACCCGCCAAATTCCGAAAAATTTAAGCACATAAAACTAGCAAACTGTCTTTCTTAACTGATACATCAATATCAAGTGACAATAACCCTTTCCATAACTTTTGACGTCAATTCAACTCGGGCTTCAACGTGGTTCGTTCTAAGACTATTCAAAAACGTATTATTACATCTATCATAATTAAGGCTTGGTTACCAATGGTGGCATCGACCATTAAAAATGACAACGACCGTTTACGAAATGGGGAATAAGCGGCGGCTCCGCCGCCAAGAAAGTACTCCGGGCATAATAATCCCGCCAGCTATATACGCAGGCTAGGACATAAAGGGATGTTTAATCTGGCAGACATTCTTCAAATAGCAGTTGTCATCCGTTGAGTGATGTTGTTTGCTATTCTTGTTATGTTTTTAGGAAGTAGTTTCGTTAAATCTCGCGCCAATTCCTCCAGCTGTTCCAAAACAGCTGATCATGAGCTATCGCGCCCTCTGCTGTCCCTTTTCTTGTCGATGTCAGTTCAATTGACGCTAATTGTACATCTTCCACGCCAGCTAGTTTTGAAAAAGTAGTCAGAGAATTTAAGCCATCGAAACGGAGATATAATGATGAGTATGAGGGTCCCCAAGAGATTTCTCGGGATGCTGGATTTGCCTTGTCTGAAGGCTGGGATTCGGGATTTCAAAGCAATATGAGGGCGAGTTTCGGGATTGAAAGTATGCGCGGGATGCAGGATGCCGAAAATATCCATCAGGACTACGCTATTGGGCAAAAATTTGAGTCGGGATTACAGTATTGAAGTACCCTGTTGGAGACCTCGGGTACCATAAAGATGTTTTCCAAAATAGTCGTTTGCGCATCACGCTTACCTCCATCAGACGTAAACGGGTCCCCGTCACATTCATCAATTGAAAGCTGTGATTAATAAACAGATAAAACGTTAGTAAATGGCTTAAGCCCTCACCTTCAAAGTTTGCATAAGATGGTTGTCATGGTTAGCGCAGTGCTACGTAGTGTAGAACAACTGAATTTCCTTGGGAGTAATCCCTATGATGGCCTATATGGGGACGCTCCGCCCGAAAGGACTACCTTTTGTAGGCTTTACATAAAATGAAAGGGTAAGGAATTCAGCGTTCTAAACTACGAGGGAGAAAAGGGTACCATTTTGCAATAGAAGGTATACAAAAGGTGTACCGTTTTACTCAAAAAAGGTATCTTAAAAGGGTATAAGAGGTTGGAAGTCTGGGCGGAGCCTCCCCGTATTGTTCGCTGTTATCAGCAAAAATGACGCCTTAAAGGTCGAGCGTGGCACTAGCATCAAAAACAAATTTCCGTCTTGTTTAGCGGCAAAACCATCAGAGCGTTTCTTTGTTCAAAAGAAGATTAAGTGTACCAGTAGGCGGGGATTTAGAAAAATTATAGTTTTTTTTTCTTCACGCCAGCAAATGTCCTAATTAAACTTTGAGGTAATCTTCTTGCAGAAAATGTTTACCACTTTAAAATATTTCGACGTACAGTTAATAACTATTTTACCTATTCTACGAAACCTTTGAGTTTGTTTGCTTAGAAATGAGAGATGACGTTTCCACTTTTTTTGATAAAATTGTATTCTGACTTCACAATCTTTGTAGTCTGTTGTAGGCTCTCAGATAGTGGGGATGACGCGTTAGTGCAGGAAATCACCGGAGCTTCCCCCCCCCCTCTCTTATAAGACCTGTATGCTTTACAGCGTCTTAGCTGTATTAGATATGCTATTTATGGATACATTAAATAGCCGATCTAACATTTCCCAGCCGATCAAAGCAGAGAAGAACTTCTATCAAATGAGCAATTAACTTGATAAATTAAATAATTCATTGGATAATGATTAACTTCTTCCTTGAGTTCAGAGAGATCAGAATCTGGCAAAGAAAGCGATTTCAGTAAATAAAACACAAGAAAAGGTTAGGGGAAGGGAAATCGTAAATATTCTGAAAGTCTAATGCGCACAGGCTAACACTTATTGAAAGCTGGGTATGAATAGTTATTATAAATTATGTAATTACCTGGTGTCCTGAGTAGGGAAACCAAGGCGAAAACTGCATGACCTGCAGTTTGGGGTTTTGAGCAACAGCAGATCTGGTACACGAGATATGTTTCATGTCACTGCACAACTGGGGCACGCTCCAGAAGTGGAGGCACTGTTCTTGTTTACAATTTTTTACGCGGTGTGCGCGGCAGAAATCAACGGCCCTTTCGCTAGAGCAGACGGGACAGAGGACACAAAGTTCATATGCCTCGTTTTTCAACCAGGGAAATTCATTGCGCATAAACTCCAGTATCAACCTAAGTTGCCTACCCACCTGACGAGCACACATTTCCTCCTCAATGTCAGGTTGCAAGTCTGCTGAGGTTCTACGCTCAAGTCTAGAATTCCCACCATGAACAACTACCTCAACGGATGAAGAGTGGCATAGAAGGTTCACGGAACAGACACCACTAGAGGTGTAAAACCTGGCAAAATCGTGAAACAGGTGAGGTGTTGCTCGAGCCCAAATTTTCTCTTCGCCCCACTGGAGGAACTGTACGATCAGCCGGGGAAAAAAGCCTGCAGGAACTTGATTGCTTGTAAATTTTACAAATAATGAAGGAATCTTTGCAGTCTCAATTAGATCAAGAATCTCCTTCGATGGATGGGACATCAACATCGAAGGGACAAGATATTCCTTGCTGCCTGAAGAATGGGATAACCAAGGACAGAGTAAGCTAAATCTCTCCATAATTTCAATAAGAATATCTGAGGTTTCTTTGCTCTCAATCAAAGGATCCCATACATGCGTCAAGAGCTTTTCATCGAGTAAACCCTCTGTTTCAAGCTTCTTCCATAGCTTTTCAAAGTTTTCCTCCTTAGAATCATACGGCCTGACCGTTATCACCTTTTTAAACACGTCAACTAGCCACTGAGGGTCCAAGACTACCAGTTTTTTCAACTGCACACTGTCATCAAAATGAACAAGGCTTCTTAGGTCATGCAAGTAGTTCATCAAGGTATCAAATTCGTTGTTGTCGGTAATGTTGCAGACTTTTGTAGCCATACGTTTTGCTGATTCCAGGGAAATGCATTTGTTTCCCTTTAAATTTTCTTTCATGGCCTGCAGTACCTTCTCAAATTTTAACCACTTAATAGGAACTGCCTTGTTAATGTCAGGTAGCTCTTTGGCGACAGCAAGTACTTTCTGCCGCAAACGCACAACCTCTGGGCAATCAGACTTTTGGACACTGAGGCTTGTGTTATCTACGAAGAATACATCACACAAGTGTTCCCCATACGGCTTACTTTTCAAACAACCAAAGATCTTATGGGCTAGTTTTCTGGGATTAAAGCACTCATCCGCATGAGTGCACACCAAGAAAACTGGAGGAAGCTTTTTAGGCAAAACTTCTGAGGTGACATCTGCCTCTTGACAATCGACCAATGAAGCCACAGATGTCATCCAAAAATGAAGATAATCTAAATTGGTTTTCAGATTAAAGCTGTCTTGAATTTCTTCGTACAATCCTTGTTTCACCACGGGTTTTGGTACGTCGTCAGGCTTCAGACTTAGATCATAAACCAAGCAGTAGATTGCCTTCCTCGTAAGAAACAGTGGGTGCGTCGCATAATAAACGGACTGTCCTGCAAAATCCCACAAGGTAGAATAAATGTCCTCCCCACTTTCCTCCAAGTCACGTTGAAGTAGTGTTTCCGTGACAGAAACTACTTCGTCAGGAAGATCTGGATTCGAAAAGTTAACGTCTTCTTGATTTGTCTGATACTGTGAAACACGAGTTATATGTCTCCCACGTAAAGGGGCTGAAACTTCAAGTGCCTTGTCATAATCCGCATCGTGTGCTGCCTCAATGGGGCTTGAGTCTTCTAACACTTTAGAAATCTCTGAATCTAAGGTTCCTGCAGTTTTCTCTTCACCAGTGCTTTTTACCTCTTTCTTCAAACTCCACGTGATGTGTCTTGCTGCTTGATATTCAAAGGTAATGGCTGTTTTAGTACTCTGGTCTTGATCCGTCACTCCTGTCTTCCACGTCTCTGTAGACACTTTGAAATGAGAAGGATCTACATCTATACCAATAGTGCTGTCTTCATGTGGGTCGAAACAAATTCCTTTCAATGACTTTTTTAGGCTGGTCTTTCCTGCTCGGTCTTGACCAATCAGCATTATAGGAACCCTCCTCGTGATCGTTTTTCCATCGGCAAGGGCTTTTTTGTATGCTTCCACGGCCACAGGACCTCGCGCAAGTATCTCAGGAGGAACTACAAGATAGAATATTATTAGGCAGAGTAAATATTATAGGCCGATAATTATTAGGTGGAACAATGCTTTATGGTACAGTGGAACCTCGATTTACCAAACCTTTATATAACGAAGTCCTCGGTATAACGAAAGATTTTCTTCAGCCCGGCTAAAATTACAGTAAAATGTATGGAACAGAACCTCGCGCAAACGTAAATTTTACCTCGATATAACGAATAAATGTCAGCATGTAATAAAAGATGAAAGCCAAACAGACCAACAAGGGTAAAATTTATGAGTACAGTACTTTTAAGCATTTTTGTTTACCTGTTATTGAGTTTCTGGTGCCGTAGCTATGTATAGCTCGGTACTGAAACGTTATTTCAGTAATTTTTCAGATCCGGAAATGCTGCTGGGTTTTGTAAATTAATTAATTGCTATACCTTGATATAACGAGCCCTCGATATAACGAACAAATTTCCCCAATCTCTTGACTCTCCGTTAAATCGAGGTTCTACACGGCCAGCATTTAACACGAAAAAAATTGAGTGTATTTTGTAAAGTTTGTCCGGAATTAAAAACTGCTGGTGCGGTAACTTTGAATGAGCGGGACAGCTATCTTCAAAATTAGGTTGGCCGTATTTTTTTTGCCTTTTTAAACCAGTAACTTCTTACTTTCGTTCGGCCTCAGTTGATGGTTCTGTGTCGAAGGAAAATAAAAATTAGACAGGTCTGAGGAATTCCATAATACCAAAGAACAATTTGAGCCACAGCCGATATACATACGTTCTCCCTGCACGACAATTTCTTGTACTTTCTTTACAAACTGAAAGAACTTTGGTAGTGTCGCAGTTACTTTCTCCGGTTCCCAATCTTTGCTATTGAGCAACGTGTCCCACTCTTTGCAGTGAAGATGAAGGTCAGTCTGTCACGTAAAACAAAAAAAGGAAAAATGCACAGTATTCAAACTGACAAGATATAGACTCCTTAAAATAACGACTGAGTCTTAATGAATTTTCCTTTGCGATAGAGGTGATAAGTGTCATGTAATTCGGTATTCCTCAGTATCTCTGCAATATTCTTAAGCATTTCTTTATAAGCAATTGCGTGTTTCCCTTACGAATCCGCTACAAAAATGGTAAAAAGGAATCATGGTAACTGATTACAACAGCTTTTAAGCTGTTGTAGAAGCTTAAAAAAACTTTTGTAAAAATAAATACTATGGTCAAGAAGTACCGATTCTCTGGAATCCTCGTCAAGCCCATCAGTACGCCAAGAGCTTTCCTTGGAAAGAATGGTTGTGAAGCCTGGCCAGATTTCATACACAGATCTTTTGGAACACCTTTTATAAGTGACATGAAATCCCTGGGGTAATTTCTTCTCGGGGAGTCGGCAAAATTTAACGCCTCTTTCTTCTGTCAAAGTCAGCTCAGATAAGTATTTCGCCAAAGTTTGGATAACCTCTTCCTTAGGTACATAGTCTGTCGCGAGGGCGAAATCTGAGGAGAGAAAATACACGTGCATCTTAACATGTATTTAAATAATCCATTTGAAGGCGAAGAAGCCAAACAAGTGTGATCCTGGTCTTATACTACTACATGATCAATTTCTGCAATCTGATTGGTTTAGAGCAGTGGTATTTCAGCTTAATTTGAAATACCTACATGTGAAAATTACAAACCTTTTGCGGGTAGTAGTATAAACAAATAATAGCATGATTTGTACGTGATATTTGGCATAAATACCACTCGTGATATTTCAAAATTGTCTCAAATTTCACTCGCCTAACGGCTCGTGAAATTACATAACAATTTCGAAATATCACTCGTGGTATTTATGCCAAATATCACTACAAATCATGCTATTACCTATACAAATTGCATAGTGCACTTAAGGCAAAACTCGTGCAAGAAGATTACGTGACGCGAATACCCGACAACGCCGGTTTCCCGCGTTTTGTCTAAGAAGGGTTTTTGAAGTGAAGAGACCAATCGGCTTCGTTCGGTCAGGTCGAATTTTCTGAGACAATCGCAGTAAGAATACCCGCAATTAAGTCCAATTTGTTAAAATTAACCTAACATGCAGCAACTTTGAATTCATTTCTTTTAAAACATGTTCATGTGATGCATGTACAACATCATTTCACAGTTTAAATCAACCTGTTGTAAAATTCGTTTCATAAATCTAAAAATGGGGAGTAGAGTTTCACTTCCTTCATAAAAACATCAAATCATACCAATCCTTCCACGAATATTAAGCCTGCAATCAAATGGGCAACCAGGGAACAAAATATCTGCCTGTAAGTATTTGCGAGATGGTAGAATAAGCCATCCTCTGCATCGAAACCGTGTAGCTTCATCTTTGAACTCTAACTCCTTTAGAATGTTCTTTACGTCACTCAGAGGAACTGGTATGTCTTCCAGTTTTTTGCCGACATTCTTTTTTGTGACCCACACCTTTGGACGAGAACAACATATTTAAATATAAAGCTTGGTAGAAAACCAAGACGGTAATCCGGCTTAACGCAGAGCCCAAGAAAACTTTGACACAGCGTAGAATGCTAGAATTGGTAGCTTGAGATATACTTAGTCATTGCGGGATGGATATTTAATGTCTAACTTAAAACGCAGGGGAGCTTGAGCTTCAGGTCTGTATTTTTCAAATAAGACAAGTAATTAATACACCAAATTATTCAGCCAAATATGAAACTCGTCTTGAAATTCAGTCTACTGCCTTCCCAACAGTCTTTATCCAAAAACACTCACTAACAGGTTTAATGTTGGCTAGTACGCGACCTTTTAGCAAGACAAGGTAACTAACTGTTTGGTGGACTTTCACCGTAAATTACACTTCCATTGGAGTTTCAAGTGGCAATAAATCCACGCGACTCTAAGAAGTACACCCCTGTCTAGTAAAGGACTACTTTTTGTCACCAAATAGTACACGAGAATAAGGAGTTTTCAGCGCTTTTGTTCTTTAACAAAGAGTATGTTAATGTTTGTTCAACAATTTTACCTGGTAGTATCTTAACTTATTGGTTGGTATATACCTCATCCTTACAAAGTGGCAAATATTGATCAAAAAATATTCTCTGCTGTATGATATATGAACCTCACCTTCATCATTACTTGATGACTACACGGTGTTACAAATGCCACCTCATATCTTGCCTCATAATCTGCATAGTCTTCTGGAGTTGTGTTGCAAATATGCTTTTCAAAGATTTTCCCGTTCAATTCCACTCCTGATTTTAATGCAACTTTCCAGTATTTCTCTTCTGATGACTTGAACTTGTTTAATGCCGCGTCAATACTCCACTTTCCTTGATCAGCCTCATCTGCACACAAATCCGATATCAAGGTATTTATAGAAAAGCCACAGGCAGTAAGTAAGCAATATAGTTGCCTCCGCAGTGTTTTGGCACAGAGGCGCAATCTGAACATTCCCAAATTTTTTTCACGTTTAAGGGAAATAGCTTCAAACGAAAGAATCAGCAAAATAGCTTCATCTGAAGTCTTTCATCGAAGATTACACAAAACATGCATACTATTAGTATGGGTTAAAAAAATCATGTACACTACCTTGTTCAGGTCCTCGGATAAATGCCTTTCCAAAATGACACCACATGTCTGCTTTCAGGTCTTCCTTTGTCTCTCTTTCTTGTTTTATCTTACCGAGACACTCTAATGCATCACACTCAAGTTTTGACAGATAGGTTGGTTCTTCAGATGACATGCAATTTTCCTGGATAAGCAAACTTAACACAATTAACAGAAACGAACCTTATAAAGAGTTTCATTAATTCATTCAATCATTCCCATTTATTTATACATTTATTTAATTGTGTATTTATTATTTTATTTGTTTATTTTCGTCAGCCTTTTAGGGCCACGCTAAAAACAGTTGAGAGTCTCGACAATCACTAGTAATGGTACTAGGACTGAGTTAAGTATAATTCAGGGAGTAATCGGGCGAGAAATTTCAAGCACGAGGACGATCTGAAATTACGAGCATGATAACCCAGAATAACCCTGAATTGACGCATTCTGCTCTAGTGCGAAAAAATAAAGAAATGCAGTGGAGGCTCAGGTGGACAACTCCATATAAGTGACTGTAGTTGGTCCACCCAAGCCGCGAGTTGATGCCTTTGTTCACAGGAATGCGGGAAGGGTTTATTGTGCGACACAAAGTCCTATTACCATATAATCGTGTCAATAACAAAGTGCAAGAATCTCAGGCTTGGAATATTTTAGTTAACGGGCTAATAGAGGTGACAACAATAGAAGAATTCTCGTCGGGATAGCCAGAACATGGCCTTAGCCGCTTTACAGAGTTGGTCGCTTAATAGAGGTTTAATTTACAATTCTCTTCTTGATTACTTGCCGCTTGATAGAGGGTCGCTTAATGGAGGTTCTACGGTATTTACGCCTGAATTCACCTGTCAAAAGTTTGGCCTGTCTGGGACTAGATTGGTCCTGGTCCGTGACCCAAGCTAAACGCAAAGCCTTAAAATTCATTTTTGAAAAGTTTTGTCGTAAGTCAAAAACAAGAAACTTCAAGAGATTTTCACCGAAGAAACTCCATTGGTTGCCTCTAAACCCGGTTTGTGTTTCGCCAAGACAAACGCAAAGTGCATGTCTGGAACTCCCTACCCTCCCTTGAAGAGTTTCCTCCTCCCCTCCCCCTCCCCTAGTGTCTGTGCGGGTGAGCGTACGGGCGTACCAAACTTTCTACCAGCGATAGATCTCCACTTTGTGTAGCATTGGAGGCTCCGCAATGAATAATGCATCTATTGGCTTCAGACGAGCGAGTCGCATTAGCAAAATGCGAGCCCACAGTCTTATTCTCGGTTGGGGTGGTCAGCGCCACTTTATAAACTGTATAGCCAAGTTTTACAAAATCTGTCTACATGATTCTTAGGATACCCTTGTTGTGTCAACTAATATACGCCACTATTCAGCTCGTCGATTTCAAGGAATAATAGCGACTCGTTAGTACTAGATAATGAAAGCCAGCGCGCACTATGCTATAAAACCTGATTGGTATTTAAAAGTGGATTTTACTGTTAAGCGCGATTAAACATATTTTCTGATTCTATCTTGTATACTGCAAGCCCCTTCCTACAGCATATAAGCCCCCCAAAAAAGCAAAAAACCAAAAACAAGAACACCTGTTCTTGGTACATGTTGTCGTCGGCTGGTTTCAGCCGGTACTGGGTATCCGGTTCCGGGATAAAAGCACGATCATCTTGACCAACTCTCTCTAGTTTGAGTTGACTGTTCTCTGGAAGTTTCCAGCCATCGATATAGACACGGAATTTGTTATACTCGTTTTCCAATCCTCTGAGTCTCGCCCCTGTCTAACAATTAAAAAAGAAAGATGGATTTTGGGTGAAAGGATGAAGGAATAAATGAAAAAGTTTCTCGCTGGGGATCCAGCCACAGAGAGACTGGCTGCATGTGACGCTGAGGCAGAATTCTATCGCCCCTTTTTATTAAAAGGTGATTTAGCACTTCAACATTTACTGCTGTGTCCCATGTTTGCTAAAACTTGCCAAAACCGATCGTGTGGAATATCACTTCAAACAAAGTTGTCTGTTATCTTCGGTTCCGGGGAGTAAGCTCATAATGTATTTTGTCTTCAAAAAGCTTGGGGTATAAGTGGACCATGAATTCTTGGTGGGAGTGTACCGCTCGATTCTCCAAATCCTGACCCTATTTAAGATCAAAAAGGTCATTTTTCATATCCGTTTTTAGACCTGGCTTCTATAATCTATACTCGTTTTCAGACCAAAACGGAGCAAAAACCCTACCCTTTTGGGCGGCACACACCTATATGGTTTATATAAGGGAGTTCCCCCCAGGGCTTTTCTATAACGGGGAAAGAGATGTCATTCTTAAAAATTAAACGCACAAATTCAGATATAATGAATGGATTCTTGATTTACTTACAACTTTTACTTTTATTTGCAACTTTGCCTGTTCCCTTTGTTTCTCTGTTCCACTAATAATGTATACTTCCCCATCTCTACGAATAACTTCTGCTCCCGTACACCTGCTAATCTCGATGAGATTTTTTCCCCATTTGCCGAACACCAAGCCTTTGTATGGTTTTGGAACTTCTACTAGCTCGCCAGGTGGAGCTTCTTTGGATTTTCGTATCTGTATTTCTTTCTGTAAAAATGATTGTATAACTAAACGCAACGCAGAAATCAACAGCTAGTTTTTAAATGTGCCAGGTGAGAATACCACCAAACTTGTACAAGCTTTGTCAGTGCACCGTAAAATTGACTTCTGAGTGAAATGCATGGTTTACTTTAAGGAACTTATACAGATGTGTCACAATAACTGTACGGTGTAAGCTAAGACTGTTCAGAGACCCCTATCAGTTCAGTTTGTTTGATCGTTGAGGTCGATCGACGAATATCTTGATTCCTCATTGTGGAGGACAATTCCCATCACGATTGTGAAAGGAATGGGTGGGGGTAATATAGCTTAATATGGGGTGCCCCTTCCCAATGGCGGTCGACCCCGACATACAAATAGGAAAATAGGGGGCTGTATAGGGGTAGCTGCACTCTCCCAGCGAAAAAAAACACACGGCGCCCACAATAACTGTACCGGATTTACCGTTTGCCTCAGCGGTAGCGATATTGTTGATGCCAAATATTTTCTGGTTTTTACTTGTTTCCTTACTGCTCTTAAATTTCTTTGTATTAGGGAACCGGTCATTATTTATGTAGAGGAGGGAAGGGGAAAAAAAAAGAACGGGGGGGTCAAGGCTTTTTCATATTGGCAAGAGGAGGAGAGGGGCTAAACTTTTTTGTAAAGAAGTTTAGGGGGGTCAGCAGTTTGATCTCGAGGTATATTTTAAGAGGGGTCCATTGGCAAAAATGGGTAAAGCAGTTAAATAGTAGAGCACAAACAATATATGGGAAACAGTAATGCTAAATTGCACAATTTCATGCTAATCCTATTGCTTTTTGTTAATTTAAAGCATAGCTGTTTTGTTCAACTTAGTTATTTGTTTTTGACAGAAATTCTGTTTGCACTCTAAACTTCATTGTTACTACAAATCTTAGCTAATAAAGAATCCAGACCTGTCTGCTTGAATATTTAACAAAGCGTTTGTCACTTCAATATCCCAAGAAAAACATAACGATTATAAGACAACAAGAAAGTAGTCTTTTTAGAACTGCAGGAAAATCATTTGAAAAGAATTATATTTTGCATGGTTATTACATTAATGTGTTCACCATGAAGGCACGCTGATTTTGTAATAGAGTAGGTTGGTTCCATTGTTATCCAGAATAACTAAACATCATGATTAGTATGTTTATTTACCAAGTCTTAACAGAGTATTGTTACATGCATTTTAATAATTTCTTTGAAGAATATTCAAGAGGAGATATGAGGTTAGGGGGGGTCATCACGTAAATATTGAAAAAAGAAGGGGGTCACTTGCTATTTACATGGTCGCAGGGGGGCTACAGGAATTGTGATCTTTCCTAAAAATGTTTCCCTCTCCCCCTCCCATCTACATAAATAATGACCGGTCCCTTATTATTCTATGCTTTCTGTGTTTATCGTTATGAATATACCTGCCCTCTAAAATCAACCAAATAGACAGACCTATTATCCTTTAATCTTAGCTAGCACTTTTGTAAACCTGTTCAGGAAAATGTTTCAGTTCTAGTCAACGTTTTCACCGTGTTAAGATCAAGAGAAAGTCTCAACTTTAACGCTGTTTCTGTCCCTAAAATGTAACCGTTTGGAAAGTATGTGGAAAACCAAAAACCGCGAGGGGAAGCATTCTGCTACTCGTAGGCTACAATCTTGGACAAAAAGTGTTGAGAATTTTGCACTTTCTTACTCACGAAACGCCTATCCCGCGGATTTGGTACCGCTATGGCCTCTTCCCTCGCCCAACCCTGGTCAAAGGTGTTTATTCAAGATCAAAAATGATCCAGCCGGACTTCAACATTGTTTTTTTCGGGGGAAGGGGGAGTATTTGTAGTTGCCAGTGCTTTCCAGAGCTTTATCTTGAAACCAGACATGGTAACGTCCACTGATTTTCTCAACATTTTTGTCCAAGACTATATAGGCTGTGAGCGTACTATTGTACGAAGGCCAAACTTGCAAGAGTGCCTCTGACTTAATGGATAAATATTGTTTTGTTTTATGTCCTCCGAATCACCTAATCGTCGTGCATGATCTTTGTTTGTTTGTTTGTTTGTTTTTTTTTCAAAAATAGACTAACAAAACATTTTTTCACACAACCTACCACTTTTTCTGTAATGAGCTTCTTAGCTCGTTCACGTTGTATTTTATTACCACTTATCCAAAACCCTTCTTCCTTTATGCTCTGTGAACGAATGCTTGCTCGTGATTTTTTCTCAATTTCGTCTATCCCGCAGCGACTTCTTCCCAGCACGTACTTTTTTATATCTCTTGGGACCTCCACAAAGTCATTCTTTATTTCCTCCTCACTGTCTTTCCTGTTGTCACGAAAGATGACCAAAAGTTAACCTTATGAGTCATCAAAAGATGATCGATAAACGTTAAGTGACTGACCAGCATTTAAGATGCTAATTTTAAATATTTTATGGGAATATTATCAAAAAATCGCTTTCCAGCTATCGTCTATGTTTCCCATAAAATTTGTTTATACAAGTACTTAGCTACACACGCAGCAAATTAGACCACTTTAGCCTTATCTGTGTAACCGGGGTGACGGCGGGGGGTGCTCTGAAGGGATGCTACTTGTCTCGTTCGTTTTATAGGGGTTTCAATTACCGCCGATTTTAGTATCACACAGGTATCACATATCAAAACGTTGTGTGTAAGGGCATTATCCTATTTCGGTGTAAAGATTTTGGATAGCCCCTAGCTTCGTTAGGCTTCTTAATTGGCATAAAAATTAACAATTTCACCCACAACTTTTGTTGTTATCACGCCCAGATTGGTCTCTTTAACTCAAAGATCTGATTCCAGTTTTTCCAGCCCACATTTCCCCCCACCCCCAATTCACATTGGAGCTTGTCCTCCCTCCCATCAGAGGTCATGTCACAATGCTCATTAGAATATGCCTTTTGTCTTGTCCATAAATTATGTGTACATTAATTTTGAGGGTAAAAACAATAAAAAATCTCTGGAGTAACATCAAACAGGCTACATGGAAAGAACAATGATGCACCCAGATCCCCCATACTCTATAAACCTACCGCCAGACACAGTGATAATTATAAGATCCTGTTCACATATGTTGTGGTTTAATTTTATCCTTGGTTTAAATTTTACGTTTCTTTGTTCCAAACTCATTATAATCATCATACATTCCCATACCCCAAAACAAAGGAAAGTAAAATTTCAACCAAAGGTAATATTGAACCAACACATACAGCTATTTCATGGAAGGTTATGTGAAAAAATGTGCGTGCATTACAATCCCAAAAGGTAACATGGGATATGATCGATTCACTGTTCCTGAAACTGTAGCTGTAGAACCTACTTTTGTTGCTTTCCCTTTAGCACTCGTAAACATACGTCTATGGCCTCTTGTGCCATTCTTTCAAATTTCTTTGACGAACAGTGAACTCAAAACCACCCCATACCTTTCCGGATTGTCCCATGCACTTTTTCCGACAACTAACCTTTCTCGAAATAGCTGTATAAATATATTAAATAGAAAAAAACGGAAGAAGCACCATCAATGGGGTATATTTTCCCCTCGTAACCGACTCTACCCAAAATAAGTTAAACTCCATAGGACAAATTTATCAAAAGGATTTTATAGTTACTAACTGTGGTGAGCTTAATTTTACATGCGTGTGGGGGGATTAGTATATTGACACAACTATAGTCATGGCCTAAAATGTCACCATTTGCAGAGTGAGAAAGGCTAGCACTCTCTCCATGTGTTGTATACTTATGATTACTGAGATCTATATATATATAATCATATGCTTTCCCTGAATAACAAAGATATACTCTAGTATCTCAAATTTATTGGTGCATCAAACAAACAAATTTTACCTGAACTACAATCCTTGTGTTTATAACCTATACATGGCACCAGCATTTAAAAATACCCATTATTATTCATTCAAAATATTTCCCCCATTCTGATTGGCTAAAAGCACATGCATAATTCACCATGACCCGTTACTGAAGACCAAATTAGGAAGAATTTTGTGTTTAACGAGGAAATGACGTCAAAAATGCAGTATTCTTGCAGGTTAATGCACAGTTAACCGAGAAGACCTGGGGACGAGGTTGAGTTGTTTTGATTGTGAAAACAAAAAATGACGAACATTTCACTCGTTTCAAGAGTAAGAACGTAAAGACGAAATAATATTGTAGCTAAAAACATGGTAAGAACAGCAAGAACACAACTCGAAGGGCAACATCTGCTATTTGGAGAATATTTGCGGAGCTGAACAACCCTAAACGTGCACCTCGAAGATGTCGAACTTAACATCGACGGAGGTAAGCGTGTTTTAGCTTTGTTTTTAAACTAGGAATTATTTCGAATGAATAATAAAACAATTATTGAATTCGGCTTTCGTATCATAACAGTACACCCTCCTCGATCTCCATAATTCTTCATAGGATACCCAGCCTCATTCATTAATTCTTAATTATTGCACCAAAGTGCAAAATATACAGCCTAATGTTCATAACCAAGAGTTGGTGGTGAAAACAGCTTGTTTGACGTACATCAACATGCCTACTTATCACGCATATTTAGGTTATTCAAATAACTCTGAATAACCTCACTCATGACCAGCACAATGTAACAATTGTTTTGCTTGTAAGCAAGAAAAATACATAAATTTTGCTCATTTTAAATCAGATCTTTTACAGAGGCTAGAATTCTCAATTTCCCCTTTAAAATTTTTACACTAACATGTCACAATCTGTGATCATTTATTAAATCCCAGGGAGTGGTGCTCTTTCAGAAAAGTGTGGTGAATCAAAACTCTACCCCCCCCCCTTAAAAGAAGGGGGGTTGATTTTAAGAATGTGCCTTTCTAAACTCGTGATACAGTATGTTGCCAAGTATTCAGACACTTCAGTTTACCAGTGCAATAACTTTCCTTTGTTTAAGTCGTAAGAGCTCTGAAATTTGGCCCAGACAAAATCTATTTAGTCCTTAATATGACAAAAGCCAGTTTAACTTTTTTGCCTTTGTTTCCATCGCAAAATTAATATTTTTGCAGAGCTCCTATGTTGCTCAGTATCCGGACAGCTGGCCCAGTGTACCCGGCCACAACAAGAACAACGTAATTGTACATAAATTTTGACGGGCGGGCGACTTATACGCTGCTCTTGCACTTGCAAAGTAGTCTGGCAATCTATTCCGAAAATAGAATCTGGCATCGTGAAATGAAACTTAACAAATGACTGGGGTATGGTGAGGAACGCGAGCGGCTGTTTACTTCCTTGTCTAGGAACTTTTTCATTGATTTAAGGAATTAATTAAGGCATCTGTGGACATGCCGAAGACGCGGTTTGCAAGCTGCAAATTTAATGACTTTTTTCCTTCTTATTCTTAAAAAAACCTTGGGTAAGGGACCTCAATCCGACATAAGAAACTATTGGCTTCTTCTGAGTTTCTACTATCACGTGATACTAGAACACCTTAAAACCTTTATACATACAAATTTTCGGTTCAAAAGGGTTCTTTGTTTTGCGATACAGGACGCTTGAATTTCCAGGCTTTTGCGTGACGACCGGCATTTAGCTAGCGGCCGGGAAAGCTTTTATGTGGGTTAAAAACATTACGGATTTTTGGAGATTTTGCTATCTAAACATTCCTTGTCTTAGAATAAATATTACTTTAATCTTTATGAGTTCCTCAAGCTAAGAATTCACGTATACGTAGGAAAACTCAAAAACAGATATTTCTGTTGGGTTCCGGCGGCCATATGGGACACAAACATGGCGTCTCCATTCAAAGCGTCATAAATTTGGGTGAAACGTTTTTCCGAATATCTCGCATATGAACTATTGCATAGGCCTGATTCTTGGCAAGGCTTTTTGTATATTTATCTTCTTTCATTTCCCAGATTCTAGACTTTCTGTATTAAAAGGTTTCCATTTTTATTTCTGCTTTCTCACGTGAGTGAAAACCGAGAATTTAGTCTGACCTGCAGTGTTGATTTCTTCATTCTCAATCCCCACAATAAGCCTGCTTTTCTAGCTCTATACAAGTTCCTCCTTCTTTCACATCTCTCAATCCCTCAAGTTTGTGACATTTTTCAGACCGTTGCAACCCCATTCTAGCAGTCACAACTGGGAAAAGTACTGTATGAGAATTCCAGCTCCGACGCTTCCGGTTATAATAGGAAATGCAGTCACGCGAATTGCGATCCAAGCCGTGCACACGAAATCAAGTCAGTCTGAGAGTGAAGAAAATTTCCATACGGAGTTGAGTAGAATTTCATTTTACGACTATATCTTATATCCTAAGCTTTAATTGTAGTTATAGATATGAAATAAATCTTATCCGGATAATGTACACAGCTAATTCATCGATTCTGTACAGCAAAGAAAAAATTGTCCGGATACTGGGCACCCGCTGACATCAATACTTAGTGAATGTTTCTGGCCTCCGTTTAATTCCAAACAAATCAAATTTCAAGAAGGATTAATAAAATTTCTGCGAACCTGACTTCTTTAAGTATCTTCACGTTAAATATCAAACAGTTTCTTTGAAAATATCACATATTACCTACCCTTTTTTGAGCAGCACTAATTTTACGGCGCAGCAAACAGCGTAATATTATAGCCATGAAAAGTTTACTCACCTCATCAGAACGGCGTCTTCTGCGACTGTTTCGCAAGCTTTAAACTCGCCAAAACTTTCATCTTAAAGCTGAAATGTTCAGCTTTCATTAAAAATGCTTCGTTTACCGAGAAATGAAAGGGCGCCTGAAAAACTGAGTTTTTGTTTTAAGTGTCCTGATAGTGGCCTGGTACCGTTCGGGAACCCGAGGCAACATACTGTACTGACTTGTATTATGAGTATTTAGATGGTAACTTACCACTCTCCTCTTCGATCAAAGCCGTCGCTGGCCATGACTTTTAAACTGCGATACACCTTAAATGGATCAAACTTGTCTGGCGAGCTATACCTGATAAAGAGACGAGTTAGGGTTTGAAGGAAATACTCGAGAAAGCTAGAGCCATCCACGAAACAACAATAACTTCCGCCTTCACACGACGACCGCAAGTAGTAAAGGGATATTATAGTAGGCCATAACCCGTTTCGCAGATGTCACGCAATATTTGCAATTACAGTGGACCACCAATTAAGCGGACACCCTCTTTTAAGCGGACACTAAGCCGGGTCCCGAAATTAACGTTGTATTTGAGTAATTTCTATCGTTAAAAACCTCTATTAAGCTGACACCGGACTGAATTGACAATAGTAGTATTGGATTACGTCCTTGAAATACGTACTTTAGTCGATTAATAAAGATAAATAGATACATTTAGCTGTCAAAAGTTCACCTAAAACTTTTGCACAAAGTACAACACAGCTTCCGTAACAACATGGAACTTTATCACATTACAGAGTAACCGGACAAGCGGACACTTGGGAAGGTCCCAAAGGCGTCCGCTTAATAGATGTTTTATTGTATTCGTACTCGTTTTCATATATAGACCTAAAGCCAACGCTTTAGATCGATTTATTGTAAAACTGCGAACTTTCATGCGGATTTGTCGTAAACATAGAGATATGGCGCCTGCAAATAATTTCAGTAACAAGGAAATGTATGGCATGGGGGCAGTCATACATTTCCTTGTAACCTGGTTGTAAAAATTCGACTGTTAAATAAGGAGCACATTTTCCGTTTGTTTGTGACGAATCCTCGTAAAAACTTTGTAGTTTTACTAAGTTCGGCACGAAAAATCGATCTTTCATAGCACGGACCCTTGTAAGTGCCACACAAGCGCGCGTATGGACATCACACGTACGTTTAGAAATCGCACTGCGGGAAAAAAACCTAATTGTAAATTATAACACTCGGTTTTTTATTATCAGATCTTTTGAAAACGTGTTGAGAGCTCTGGCGCACTTGTTCTCTAGAGAAGATATCTCTCGAAATGAAAAAAAAAAACAGTGAATCAAACAATCATATGAGAGTAATTTTCTGTTTCAGGAGCCGATTAAAGTAATCGGCTCCTCTCTGTTTCCTAAAATTCGGAAAGCAAATTAAGTTCTAGTTACAAGCCCTTCTAACTATCCAAGTGAACAATTTTGTTATTATTCATTCAAAATATTTCCCCGATTCTGATTGGCTAAAAGCACACGTTTAATTCACCATAACCAGTTAATGATGACCAAATTTGGAAGAGTTTTGTGTTTAACAAGGAAATGACGTCAAAAATGCAGTCCTCCACAGGTTAAGGCACCGAGAAGACCTGGGGACGAGGTTGAGTAGTTTTCGTTGTGAAAACTAAAATGGCAGACACTTCACTCGTTTCAAGAGTAAGAACTACAGCTGGAACTAGACGAAATAATGGCTAAAAACTTAGCAAAAACAGCAAGAAGACAACTCGGAGGGCGAAATCTGCCATTTGGAGAATATTTGCGGAGCTGGACGAACCTAAACGTACACTATCGAAGATAAACTTAACATCGATGTAGGTAAGCATGTTTTAGCTCTGTTTTTACTAGGAACTGTGTTTAAACTAGGAATTATTTTGAATGAATAATAAAGCAATTAATGAATTTAGCTTTCGGAGGATATGAAGAATTAAGTAGATCTCGGCCTTCAGCCTCGGTGGATAACACCCTCCGAAATCTGCTTAATTCTTCATATCCTGCTCAGCCTCATTCATTAATTGCTAATTATATTTATTTATTTATTTACCTAAGAGGTTTGAACTTGAAATCCGTAAAACAGTGCTCAATACATAAAGTAGAGCGAGTATACGTATGGTTGACGGAAGAAAACAAGTAACTACATAAGTATCCCTACACGCCTGTTTCGTGGTTGCCCACTCATCAGGGGATTTTAATGAGAATAACTTTACCATTACTTATATACTAGACTGATTTACATAATTTATTCAGTGCGAGGTTCGTTACATCAGTTGTTGCATCTTCAACGCTAACGGTTTGCGCATCACCATAGAAGCTAACAAACAAGTAATCAACTTCCTAGACGTCACATTCAACCTTAGCCGTAACACCTTCCAGCCGTATACAAAGCCTAACACTACATTACAATACGTCCACCACGAGAGCAACCATCCACCAATCACTACAAAAAACATTCCCGCAGGTATCAACAGACGCTTATCATCTCTCTCATCCGACAAAGCCTCCTTCGACCAAGCCGCGCCCGCCTACCAGAAAGCACTCGACGACAGTGGATACAGCTGCACGCTTCACTACGAACCCACCCATACACGCAAACCGAAAAACCGACAACGCAATAACATTCTATGGTACAACCCACCCTTTAGCAAGAACACCAGTACCAACATTGGACGTAAATTCCTCGCCTTAATAGACAAGCACTTCCCCAAGGACCACAAGCTACGAAAAATCTTTAACAGAAACACCATCAAGATCAGTTACAGCTGCATGAACAACGCAAAACAAATCATCGACAACCACAACAAACGAATCTTGACTGCCCATGCTAAGACTAATGCTACCACCGCTGCCGCCGACTCCGCCCCCACCATCATCAACAACAACAACAAGAAATGCAACTGCCGACAAAGAACTCATGCCCGCTCAACGGGAACTGCCTTCAGCCTGCTGTCATCTACCAAGCTACTGTCACACGAAAAGACACCAACACGACAGAAACGTACATCGGGCTTACTGCGAACGACTTCAAAACAAGATACAGCAACCACATGTCATCATTCCGTCACGCAAAGAACAGAAACTCCACTGAACTCAGCAAACACGTCTGGACTCTTAAAGAAAACAACATCAACTACTCTATCGCCTGGCGCATTCTATCTTCACACCTGCCGTACAACAGCTCAAGCAAACGATGCAACTTATGTCTTAAAGAAAAATTCCTTATCATCTGCCGACCTGAACTCTCTACACTTAACAAACGTAATGAACTCGTGTCTTCCTGCCGCCACAGAAACAAAGCCCTCTTGCGCAACAACTGATGTAACGAACCTCGCACTGAATAAATTATGTAAATCAGTCTAGTATATAAGTAATGGTAAAGTTATTCTCATTAAAATCCCCTGATGAGTGGGCAACCACGAAACAGGCGTGTAGGGATACTTATGTAGTTACTTGTTTTCTTCCGTCAACCATACGTATTTATTTACCTATATTTATACAGGATTTGCCCGAGGGCAGCAAAGAGTTCTGATACGTGACGCGTGATTAGTCCCGTTTTAGCGCGTGACTCATAAGTGATCCGTGACACCAGTTATGCATGTGAAGAGTGAATTATTTGTCACATTACGTGAAAATCAACAGTATAGGACAAAATGGATCGAACAGCGCCGTCGGTTGCATTCTTTGCATTACGTTTTTGTCCAGGTTAATAATTACCCAAAGACTAGACCCTAAAAACTACACATGGTTAGTAACCTTTGACATCCTGTTTGTTACCGCACTTTAAGATCGCCCCACCAACATTCTGATAAGAAAAGAAGGTGGCTATGGTTTCGCTTCGTAGCCTCTTTGATTAACAGATGGGTGAGGTTGATGACTAAATTCGTGACAGATACGCGAAATTAGTCAAAATTTGCAGGTGAAACTGGACCATGATGCACCCTTCCTACTCTCTTGCCCCCTCAGCAAGGCTGATATCAACGAGGGTCCCCGGCCTACATGAATACATGAGATTATAAACCACTGATTAATTTTCGCGCGATTTAATTGACCATTTTGGTCCACGTGGTATCAAATCGGAGGGCGGGTATCAGGCAATACACCACGTCAGCCTTACGATTTTTCAGTGGCAAGAATGCATGACAAAGTCAACAATGTGAGTCCCCTTTCAGTTTTTATCTTCACTTCTTAATGATGTCAAATGGAACCAGTAAAAACAAACTTGTTTATGTCGTCAGCTTTAGTCAGACTGAAAAACAATCCGGGTATTTCTTTTCCGTTTTTACCCTCACTCCAGGACTTTGGTTTGGCTGCTCACGCTTTCTTGTCCTATGCAAAAGTAAGCTAGGCTTTAGCCAAATGTATACACATCTTTACAGTAATATAAGGCTTTTCGGTAGTATTGTAATGGCGGCAATCCAAAAAAAAGGAAAAAATAATAATGACAATGATTTGATAATAAAAAATCCAAAATTACCAAATAAAATTCTGGTTTGATTAAGTAATACAAAATTGATTTAAATAGTGTTCCTTTCTGAAGTTTCTGGTATGAAGGGAGTGACCCTACCAAATGTGTATTGCTAAGTGTCTCTTATATGGCCGATTTGTCTGAAATTTTAAGCACAACTACTGCGCAAGAATGCGAACACGCGACCATGCATTTCCGGTTGAAGTGCGTTGCTCAAAAACGTCTTACCAATTAAAGGAGCTGTGTCACGAAATTCAGGCAAATTAGGAAATTACAAAATGCCCGTTAAATTAAGAGAAACATAAAAATAACCGCTTAAAACTTTAAAGAAAGGTTAAAATAACATAACAGAAACAACAGATACCACGGATGGGCAAAACTGAAGAAGCCGATTGAAACGGATTGAAATAAAGGTTTTTGAAAACTGTTCAAAGGGAAAGGATTCCCTTTGACTGTGGATCACAGTACTGATTAACCCCAACATTTCAATCTTGCACTTTCTTCACTTCAGGTGCATTTCAACCAGTTTTCCAAATTCTTCTTCAGAGAGTTCCGCTTGTAATTCGTGTTTTGATAGTACGAGTTCAATAGCACGAGCTTTGCTCTGTGAACACGCGGACCATTTAATCACATTGTAGATTTCTGACAACACACTACGATCCATTAGGTACGCAGCGGCTTGGAAAGCAGTGTAAGAGCATTCCAAATGTACATGCAGCAAATAATCAGCTAGGATTCGAATCATCAAAAACCTCTGACCCTCGATATCCCGCTTGACTAAGGATCCTGTCACAGCACTAGCCTGTTTGGTCGGTTTCCCCAAAATTATCATCAAAAGCTTCATGAATTTCTTTGCCTCCTCGTCATCAGTGTAGAACTGTGGTCCATTTTTCCATTTCTTTAGCACGAA